AAGACCTGTATTGTCTTCGGTAGCAATTGTAACTGGGGATTGTTTTTACTTGGACTCTCTACAAATAGAACATCCTGCAGTTCATTGTAGTTTCAACCTTGAAGTGTTCTTTGAGCTGATGAAAATGAGAGGTCAGGCTGCTTGGAATGCGGCTCTTCCAGTTCCCTTTGCTATTGAAAACTGCCTCTAAATGCAGTTCCTTCCATGTGTGAGACCCTGTGGCAAACAGAAGCCTCAAGACATGCAACCAAAATCTCCAAGGGGATAATGCAACTGATGGTGGTTCTCATTTCCTCAAGATTATAGGGTGGTTTCATTTAAAAGACAAATGAGCTTGTCTTATAGTAGGAGAGATTATTTCAGAGCATGTTGCTTTGTGCATGAGGAAATGAGGTCATTTCTGCAGAAATTCCCATGGAGAAAGGGTGGATGCATGGAGCAGGAAAGTGGTAGCAGTCTGAGCCCTGTTAATATGTTTGAGGGCAGTCTAACTTGCCTTCACAGCTGACTGGGGCTTGGAGCTTTTGAGATAATTTAACAAAAATGAGGATGGCTTGAATTAGGTCCTTGAAGTCACTGGAATGATTAGAAGTATCACCAGACTGTATTGAATCAGCAATAGCAAGAAAATAATTGGGCACTTCATGCTAGACGGACGCTTGAGGGCAATTGTGATATTTAAATCTAAAACCAAATACCTTGGCTATGATCCTGGCGGTGCTGCTGGGTACTGAGCAGGTAAGCACAGCCTGGTGGTGTTTGAACAGAGGCCTCTTAAGGCAGTGCTGGATATAATACTCTTTTATGACGCCTACATTTAGTCTTTCAAGAAGCCTGGTTCTCTGGAAGTAGAGGGAGTAAATCACAGCATGCCCAACTGGTTTGGGAGTCAGGAGGGCTCTCCAGGCTGAGGCTCTGGAAACAGCTCTTCTGCCCAGGGCTACATCAGTGAATATTGCCCAAGCCCCTGAGAGCAGCAGGTAATGTCATGTGGAAGATGCTAATTTGGAAGCATGCTGCTTTCTAAAAATAATTATGCAGGAGACTATAAACAGACATCCCTCCCCCCAAAAATCAATCATCCACAGCACAGTTGTGAATTCTAACAGCTTACTTAAATAAGCCTGAGAAGATCCTATGAGTAGGAAGAGTCTAGTGCTGCAAAGCTGGAAGCTTAAGCAGAACTTCCACATTTTCTTGTTCTTCTGCACTTTTTTGGAGTGTGGCTGATGTTGACGAGCAAACTTAGCTGATGGTGCTACAGAATAAGATGTATAGCTGCTCCAGTGCCCATGTGGATTGTAGTTCGACATTAGTAGGACAAGCTGATTTTAAAATATAATGGGCTATGACCTGCAGCAACTCAAGAGCAGATTCATACCCTACTGAGCTGTAACCCTTTGGAGGGGTTCAGTCAGCAACTGGAATGCTGCTAACTGGTGGGATTCACCTCTGAGCCATGAGGACATTATGCCTGCTCAGTTGGTCCAGTAACTTCTCTGTCCTACAGAAATACTGGGATGTTCTTGGTTCCTTCAATATCTTGTCTCTTCCCACAGGTGCAAGAAACACAGAAACTTAGTTCAGAGTTGTGTTGAGGGAGAAGTGCAGGCTGTTCTAGATGGGCTTACTCTGACTTTTGCTTTTGAAACCCATTTTAGGTAAGGTGTGGGTTCTAAGTTTGCTGCACAGGTCGGAAGTCTCTGTTTCATGGTTGCAGAGGGCTTCAGTGGGGTTAATTTGCAATTGTATTAATCAAAGCATCCCCAGTTCTTAAAGGCTCCTGATCTTTTTGTGTTTCTTTGATTTGCAGTGTTTCTTAGAGCCATAAACTTGGTTTTGTAGCTCACATAGTCAACCCTTTGACCACATGTACATTAACGGGCATTTTTTTGTTGGTACTATGTGATTCCCTTCTAGCGAAAGCTGTGATGCGCTTCAGCTGAGCTGGATGGCTTGAAGGGATCCCCAGGAACAAGGCAAGGGGATGCTGCAGTTCCCCCCTGTATATAGAGCAGCACAAACAGTCTTTGTGCTGTCTGTAGGTAGTTGGAAGGATGAATTTGGATCTAGCTTATTGACCCTGAGCACCACTGATATTCCCCAGTAAACCCTACTGCCTTTCTGTGCCAATGTGCTGCTCTCCCCTTGTTTTGCCTGGCTGCAGTGTTTGATATCAGATAGCAATTGATTTACTTTCCCCAATTACATTAAAGCCCTGTGGGTGTAAACAGCAGCTGGGAAACTTCAGCTGTGCTCCTGGTAAACATGCCAGCAAAACCACCACACCCCTCCCATCGGTTGAGCATCAGGCAGGACAGTGTCACAGAGGCTTGGTGTTAGGTGGCAGGGGACCCTGGGCAGCTGGTACGCTGGGGCTGGGCACTCTCCCTGGGGAAGAACAGAGGCCTTGTGGGGAGACGAGGTATTCAATTGGAGGGCCATGTGGACATGCTTTCTCCGCTGCCAGTTTTGGATGGTTTTTGCTTGTCCTAGATAATAGCTGCTGTAGGCCCCTGGTACAGTAACACAAGGCAGCGTGGGTGTGCTGTGTTTTGGTGGTATAGCCACAGCTTATCAAGGGGTACTTCTGCGATTGCTCTGTTCAGGCTGCGCCTACACTGCTCTCTTGGGATGGGCCATACAAGATGGCATAAGATTCAGCCTAGAAATTGCTGTAGCTATTTAAGATGGTGCTCTCTGGTCAGACAGCCCTGGCAGAGTGACTGTGTGGGCACTCCTCATCCGTGGGGTGCTCAATGGCTTCCTTCTCTGCGGCTGGCAGGGCTCTGGCGGAGGCCCTCGCCTTTCCTTGGCAGCCCTTTCACAGGCACACCAACGCTGGGGCTCTGCCCTTGCTTATACACCTAACTGTTCCCATGTGATCTTCCAGACATTCATGGGAAAACCCACTTCCAAAATTGAAAACATCCAAAGATTGCTCCCAAACCAAAGGCACCAGGAGAGAAAGCTCTTGCTTTCAGCTCTTGCCCCTCCAGCAACATGTGCCTGTGTGGCTTTGCTGTGGAGGGCAGTGACAAGTGCCTGAGCAGCCAAAGAACTGGGCTGCTCTTGCGCTCTCTAATGCATGTCTGCAGTTGAACTTTTTCCTCTGTCTTCAGCAGTGGTGTACTGCATGAGCAGGTGTTGGTGGCAGATGAGCTATTTCAGCGTGCACACAAGAGGCTGTTCAGCTCTACAACCAGGGGAGTTTTCTGTGATGGGGCAAAGCTCTCGTAGCTGTGAGGAATGCTTTACTTGTCTAGCATGCTGTGCTCTGTGTCAGGTAGGTGTAGTCAAGATTTCTGCTGTAAGGACCAAGTAGGTAAACATCTGTAACAAGACAAGTTTTAACTTGACCAAATCTACACTACACCTAAGGAGGCTTTTGGGGATGTCCAGCAGAGAACATCGGGAAAGAGAGTAAGTGAGTGTGCAGTGACTGTTGCTTTAGCACCTCTGTGCCTCCTGCTGTGCTGGCAGTTTGTACGTTCGCACAATGAACCAGATCCTGTAAAGCAACATCCGTGGGCAAAGGTCAGCTCCGGCATGCAGTTCAACCTGTGCTTGCATGAGTGATGCCATCTGATCTGGTACCTCTGGAAGAGGCATCCCAGTGGCAAGCTTGACTTACTTGGAGATGCTAAACGCTCATGAGCTGGTGCTGTTTGAGCATCTGCAGCAGGTCCTGCTGCTGTCCTGAATGTAGGGGCTTCTGCTCTGCATGGGAAGGGTGATGAAGTGGGACTGTTGGGTAGAAAGTGAATGCCTCTACCCTTTTCGTCATCCACTAGTGATGAACGTGCAGTGCAGTTGCACAGTATTTACATGACTGAATAAGTATTGACCAAAAGATGTGTGTAGCTCTGTTTTGGCATGTAAATTTGACAAGTTGAAGCACTTGCATCTGACCTTTTAGGAAATTATTGTAGGCGGCTTTTAAAGTGCATAATAAGTTCCTGGCCCTGGCTGGAGACACAGCAGCTGTGGGCTCAGGCTGCCTTAAGCGGTTTACATGGCATGTGCCAGCGCTGGGGACTGATCAAGCTGCGTGTAGGTGGGTGGCTGGTCAGTGCGCTTGTCTGGCTATGCCCGGCACAGGCTGTCCTGTCTGGACAGCAGTGGGAGTAGGACTGTTACATCCAGGGGCCACGAACTGGGCAGACTGAGTGCCTAAGTGCAGAAGCTGCAGGATCCACCTTGTACATCTGTTGTCATTAATGGACTTCTGTTGTGTTGAGCCAGAGACAGGAGCCAGATGAGGCCATTGCTGCTGCTCATGTTCATGTGGGTGCTCTTCTGTGATCTGTGTGGCCGACCATGTGTATATACGTACATGTGGCAGACATGTGTGCTCTGTGTGCCTGCTGGGAACACATATTGGATCTGAAGACACGGAGGAGCAGTAGCCTCACCACTTGGGCTGTTGCATCCAGATGATGTATTTTCCTCTAATGCATAGCAGCTAGGTTTTTAAGATACTTTATGAATGTTTGTTCCTACCATCAGCATCTAACAAACTTTATGGCTTCTTTCCGTTTTTATAGGAAAAAAACACCACCCTGGTCCAGACATTGAAACTTGTCAACTGATGGGACAAAAAGCTGAGACACTTGGCTGTATTAAGACACTAAAACATAGGGTTTAGCCAAAGAAAATTTCCTCAATAAGGAGGCTTACACCTGCCAAACCCTGTAGCATTCCTGGGAGGCTTTTCTATACCTCTTTTCCATTTCCAGCCTTTCACACATCATGGTATTCCTTTTGACTTCTTTTGCAAGCTAGCTCTGGCTCTGCCTTCCGCTTCCCCTTATGCTTTGGTTTGGGTTACCAGTGTGAGCTGCTGGCTGTAGGCTGTTTCTGCATTTCTGCCTCCAGCTTCTACTTGGAGGCTCCTCTTGGATGTTGTGACTGACCTGCTTTTCTTTCTCTTTTACTGTATCTTTCTCTTCCCAATCTGTCTCTTGCGTTCTCCATTCTTCCCACCTCCGTTACTGCAGGTTCATCATGCCTAGTGGCATATAAAAAGACTCCACCTCCTGTCCCACCTCGGACCACATCAAAGCCGTTCATCTCTGTCACTGTGCAGAGCAGCACTGAATCGGCGCAGGACACCTACCTGGACAGCCAGGACCACAAGAGCGAGGTAACCAGCCAGTCGGGACTCAGCAATTCTTCGGACAGCTTGGACAGCACCAGGACACCCAGTGTGACAAGGGGAAGCATTGTGACTCCAGCAAGAGTCCAGCAAGAGTTACCCCAGAAAAATGCAACTTTGAAAAGTGACAAAGGGACTCTGACTAGTGAAGAGCCCAAAGTGGAGAATATCCCCAAAAGAAAGCTGTCGTCTATAGGAATACAAGTATGGCATAGTTTGTTCTTCGTCCTAAGGAATGTTCTTAACCTGTCCATTTAGCGTGTGCATTTTGTGTGACCAGGTGTGCACCTGAACTCACTTAGAATAGCAAGAGAAACTAACTGCCTTGTCAAACTAACTTCCTGTGTTCCCAGGGGTGAAATACAGCAGAAGCTTTCCGTAACAGACCAGAAAGGACTAAGTTCTTTTAGTACAAAATTTAAATGTTTTATAAAAGCAGTGGGACCGTGTTAACTGGGTGAGTCCCTCTAAAGAGGCCTTTTGCTGCTAGTATGCCTGTGCTGAGCCTGTGCTCTGTACTGTGTATTACTTAACATCAGTCTGCTCCTTGTCCATCATGGTTCCAGGGACAACTTTCTTCTGAGAGGTGGGCCCTTCTACTTGATATCCATGTAGTATGGGCTGCTGCAGTGCAAAATGGTCCCAGGGCTGGAAGGAGCAATTCCTTGTTGTCCACTGTTCCCAGCAGATTGCTGCTTCTCTTGCTGGAAACATTTGACTCTGTGGAAATAGATGGAAATGAGCTGTTGATTATGTAGTCAAATCGGAACCCATTGGGTAGCATAAATCCATGCTTTATTCAACAAAACTTAAGATAATCTGCGATTGTACACTCTTGTGGACAGATTCCCCAGTTACAGATGGCTGGCTGCTGCGAGCGCTTGTTCTGTCCCAAAGTGCTGGTTCAGTGCTGCAGGCTGTTACCTGCAGATAGGAACTTGAGCACTTGGGCAAATTCAAATGCAGGATTTGGGCTCTGAGCTACCACATGTGTGTGTGCTGAATAAGTTCTCCATTGACTTTACGGTAAGGCTGGCTGGCCAGTTAGGTACATGTGATAGTGAAGGCTTTTCTGCAGGGCTAGTGGGGCAAAATACATGTTGAAAGGGCAGCAAAGCAAGAGAACTTGCATTGGAGAGACTGACTGCCTTCCTTTCCTCTTCCTTTTCTGAGCTGGTTCCCAAGCCACCTGCCCCATGGCCTGGATTTCCTTCCTAAAACCTTCTAACCCTCTTATTGAGAGCTATGGAGGGTGTCAGTCCCTGGGAGAGAGGAAGCTGGGCTTTGCTGTCAGTCTTAATCAGATCACTGCCCTCTCTTGAATCTCTTGGCCTTTGCCCGTGTCAGATGCCACACACACAGCTGCGCCCTCAGGGACACAGAGCCATTCCCCAGCGTGCCACAACCATGCAAAGAGCGGTGGATGGCAGACCCGAGTGCTCTTAGAGCAGATACCTGGCAGCAGCCTGGCAGGATACAGTCCTGATGCTCGAGTGGATGCAGACCTGAGTGGTAGCCTTGTGCCTCTTCTAAGACAACCCTCCAGTTGGTGTGTGGTGTCAGCATGCTGTGTGTATGTGTGCAGCACTCCTGGTCTACTAATGTGAATTCCAGCAGCAAGTTCTTGTGTCTGGTTTTGTCTGTATTTTTTTTGTTTAATAAGGTTGACTGTCTTCAGCCAGTGGCAAAAGAGGAGCCTCCTCCACCAGCCACCAAATTCCAGTCCATCGGGGTACAGGTAGAGGACGAGTGGCGGTAAGTGAAAGACGCAAGCTTTTGTAGTTTCCTTTCTTTTAAATTGCACTTCCCCCACTTTTGCTTAGACCTTCTCCCCTTCTTTGTTCCAATATGAGTGGTGTTGAATGGGGGCCCATGGAGACCTCTTCCTCCACAGCACACACCTGCTGCAAAAAGCACTTGTTCTGTAAACAGCCAAATCAATGGGAGTTTGAAATTATAAAAAAAAAGTACAAGATGTAATTACAGATGTGCGTCAGTCCTCTTGTCTGAATGGCCTATTGCAGTAAGCAGGCAACCTTATAATTTTGTCCGTCTGAATGTGTGGTGTGTGTTTGTGTGTGAGGAGGGGCAGGGTGGGCAAGGTGAGGCTCATCTGCAGGCACAATAAACAAATGCATTTCACTGTCAGTGTGTGAGGCCGGCCAGGTTGAGTTCTATTTAATGTTTGGTTTTGTTCTCTCTAGAAACAGCCACTCTCGCAGCATGTCCTCCAAACAGGATACAGACTCTGACACGCAGGAACCTAATAACTCTAGCTGTAAATCATCTGAGAGAAGCCTTGCTGAGTGCCCCCAGCACAACAACTCTGTTGGTGTTGATGCCACTACCAGGCAACCAGCCAAGCCCTCACAGATTAAGAGAAACCTCTCCTATGGAGAAAACAATGACCCAGCCCTGGAGCCTTCCTCACTCCCTCCTCCTGACCCCTGGCTTGAGACATCCTCCACCTCACCATCAGAACCCACGCAGCCAGGAGCCTGCCGGCGGGATGGGTACTGGTTTCTGAAGCTGCTGCAGGCAGAAACAGAGCGGTTAGAAGGCTGGTGCCGCCAGATGGACCAGGAGACCAAAGAGAACAATCTCTCTGAAGAAGGTAGGTGTTGTCAGCCTCTGGACACTAGACTGGAGCAGCCTAGCAGCTCCTCCCTCAAGATAAGAGTTGTAACTGAATATTGGATTAGCTTTCTGCAGTTAAATTGCTGATAGCCCACAGAGAGAACATGGAGATGAGTATGGGACAAGGAACTCTTTTTTTTGGACAGGATAAGATAACTTCCTCTTGTAGATGGGACAAGAAATAATACTGTGATGCAGCATATAAGACTTGCAGGGGATTGTGCAGCTTCTGACCATTCAAAACTGCTAAAAGCTTAAATGGATTGTTTTTAGGGAGGCTGTGGGATCTTTCTCCCTGCCTAACCCATTGTACTCAAGTGGGCAGGTGAAAGTTTAGTTGGCAGTGGGGCAGAATGAACATGACTTCTGAGCTTGTTTGATCTGTTGAATCGGTGGACTTGTCTTCACAGCAGAGAGGATGTTTCTTCATATGGGAAAGCTTCACTGAATTTGTGCTAAATACACCAAAAACACATGCCCAGGGAACACAAGGCCACTTGATTTGGTTGGGTTCAGTCCTAGTTGGGCTTGTTCCATTATTTTCAAATAAGTTGGCAAAACCTGTGGTTCTCACAGTGAAAATCATGCCTATGGTGCATACAGAGTGACAGAAGTGGGTGACGAGGTTGCAGAGGGCAGGATCTTTGTTTTGAGTCTGGTTGATTTTTATTTTTTAATACCTGAGAAAGGTGAAATAATGATGAGACTCAGTTATAGCTCACTGTCACTGCTAGGGCCTGGGGGAGCTAATCTCTAATCCTGTTGCACTAAGATGGTGCAGTGGCTGCCAAGCTGGACAGGCAGTGCCAGGGCTGTCCCTGCCTCAGGGGATGCCCTGGTTTTGCCTGTGGCAAGAGTGCTCTGGCAAGAAGAGACACTAAGACCAGTGTGCCATTATATCTGTGATATCTAAGAGCAATCTCCTAGTAGATGCTGTAACAGAGAACTTGGTGGGTATGGAGAGAGCCTAGCTTACACTTGTCCCACCAACATCGGTAAGCATTCAGAACTGATTCAGTAGGTGCAGCAGCAGAACAGGGAGGAGAAAGAGAATCAGTTTATCCCTGTTCATGGTGCAGTTGCATGCACTGTTGGTCTCTCAGCCATGCCTTTCGAAGGGAAAAGCCCATACGGTGTTTTTCCATTAACGAGCAGAGGAGTTTTGCCATGCCCAGAGGCCTCTTGGAAAACCCACTAAGAGCAGCATAAAGTCCTGGGTATTAAAAGCCCTAGCCTGCCAGTATTTTAATCCCTTCTGGTAAGTGGATGTTGGAGACAGTTGTCCTGCCCCTTGCTACCTTCACCTCGTGCATCAGTGGAAGAGCAGGTAGTGCTCTGCAAGCAGGTGCCAGGAGATCTGCTCACTGAGATTGTGCTGGTGGCTTGTCTCATGGGCTGAAGGTGGTTTAAGGTGCTTTCTGCCAACTCTGATGTAATGTTCTCAGTCTGGCCTGCTTTTGGCCTGCTCTAGAAGGAGCAATAATAGATGGTAAAGACAGATGTAGATTATAGTTGCAATACATCTTCTTTCCCTGAGAGCAGTTAGTTCCTTGGGTATCTCTGAAACTCCTTTTCTAATGAATCAAGAGTGTTTCTTTGCTCCAGAAACACTTGACTTTGTTGCTGCATTGAATAGTCTGTTCAACTGGCAGCTGATGGCTTGGACAGGAAT